TAGGTGTAAGCCACTATGCCTAGTCCATGCTCAGCTAATTCTTACGTTTTTTTTTTGTAGAAACGGGGTCACTCTATATTGCTCAGGTTGGTCTTAAACTTCTGAGCTCAAGTGATCCTCCTGCCACGGCCTCCTAAACTGCTGGCCAATATAGAATATATTATTCTATATATATATAGAATGGTGTCTTGCTCTGTTGCCCAGGCTGGAGTGCAGTGGCTCGATCTTGGCTCACTGCAGCCTCCACCTCCCCGGTTCAAGCGATTCTCCAGCCCCCTGAGTAGCTGGGATTACAGGCATGTGCCACCACGCCTGGCTAATTTTTGTATTTTTCAGTAGAGATGGGATTTCACCATGTTGGCCAGGCTGGTCTCGAATTCCTGACCTCAAGTGATCTGCCCACCTCGGCCTCCCAAAGTGCTGGGAGTACAGGCATGGGATTCAGGCAACAATGTTCTTTAGTAAGAAAATTGGATTGAAGAAAGAGCCAGGAGGAAAGAAACAAAGTGGAGGGGGAAAAGGGGGCAAATATGTGGGTAAATATAAATAAACATTAAGTACTGAAAATAATGATTAATTTGGGAATTTAAAAAGGTAAAACCAAAACACTGGACAATGATAGTATACAAATTGGGAGGAAGTTGATTACAGTTAAAACACTAAGATTCTTATATTATTTGTGAGAAAGGCAGAAATAGATTAAATCTAGTCTTTATTTCTTCTTCTTTTTTTTTTTTTTTCTTTGAGACAGACTCTTGCTCTGTCACCCAGGCTGGAGTGCAGTGGCATGATCTCGGCTCACCTCTACCTCCCAGGTTAAAGCATTCTCCTGCCTCAGCCTCCTGAATAGCTGAGACTACAGGTGCCTGCCACCGCGCCTGGCTAATTTTTGTATTTTTAGTAGAGACGGGGTTTCAACATGTTGGCCAGGCTGGTCTCAAACTCCTGACCTCATATGATCCACCCACCTTGGCCTCCCAAAGTGCTGGGATTACGGGTATGAGCCACCGTGCCCAGCCTACTTCTTCTTTTATTAAAAAAATATCTTTTAAGAACAGGTAAAACTAATCTACAGTGACAGAAGTCATAATAATGAATACTTTGCAGGGATCTGTGACAAGGAGGGAGCATGAGGAATAAGAAAGGCTGTGGGGGGTGCTGGTAATGTGCTATTTCTTGATCATTACACTCAGTGGTCGTTTAATAGATATATTTACTTTGCAATGTTTTAATGAGCTGTTTTATCATTTATATACTTTTCGGTACATAATGAAATGCCTGTGTATAAGTGTATGTATGTAGTATCATAGAAAGATAGTCTTTGTCCCCATTCTTGGCACAGAGCTCCTAATTCCCTAAGAATTTTCTGAGTACTGAGAGTGACAAGATTGTCTTTTGTTTCAATGAGATTACTCTTGGTGGGCCTCTAGGTAGCTTCATGATGAGGGCTAGTTGCCTGAAAGGCCAAGCCTTTATAAGAAACTTTGAATTTTCAGCCTCACGCCTGAACCTCCAGGGCCGGGGAAACAGCTGGAGCCTGAATCAATCACTAGGGGCTAATGATTTAATCAAGCATGCCCACATAACGAAACCTCCATAAAAACCCCTACCCAATAGTGTTCGAAGAGTTTGTGGGTTGGTGAACATATCAAGGTGCTGGGGTGGGGTGGGTGTTCCTGGAGCAGGCATGGAGACTCCACACCCCATCCCTATACCTTGCCCTATGCATCTCTTCCATTTGACTGTTCCTGAGTTGTATCCTTTATAATAACCGGCAAATGTAGTAAAGTGTTTTCCTGAGTTGTGTGAACTGTTCTAGTAAATTATCAAACCTGAGAAAGGGGTCATGGGAACCCCTGATTTACAACCAGTCACTCAGGTGGTCTGGGACTTGTGACTGGCATCTGAAGTAGGGGTGGTCTTGTGGGGTTAAGCCCTTTTAACTTCGAGATGAGATGCTAACTCCAGGTAGATCGTGTCAGAATTGAATCAAATTGTTAGATATCCAGTTAGTGTCTGGAAAATTGGAAAAATGGTGGTGGGAAAGACCTGGTGTATTTGGTGTCAAGAAGAAAAAAGCCCCTCACTGTAATATTTCTGTAGAAGTTATAAAAGGAAACCCTACAGCACTGTTTACACAAAACTAAAATTCTGATAGACTGTAAAGATATCATGTTAAATATGTATCCTAAAAATAATTTTTAAAATGCATGTTAGTATTTATATAATCTTGGGTAGGAAAGAACCTTCCAGGCATGACACCAAAGGCAGAAATCACAGGTAGCTGTGACAATATAAAATTAAAATAATAACAATAAAACTTTTATACAACAAAACACTGTGAATAATATAAAAAAAATATAGAGGAAAAAGATTTGCAAAATATATACTAGACAAATGGCCAATAACCTTAATTATATACATAGAATTTTAAAAATTATTATTATTATTTTTTTATTATACTTTAAGTTCTAGGGTACATGTGCACAATGTGCAGGTTTGTTATATATGTATACATGTGCCATGTTGGTGTGCTTGCACCCATTAACTCGTCATTTACATTAGGTACATCTCTTAATGCTATCCTTCCGCCTCCCACCACCCTACACGACAGGCTCCGGTGTGTGATGTTCCCTACCCTGTGTGCAAGTATTCTCATTGTTCAATTCCCACCTATGAGTGAGAACATGTGGTGTTTGGTTTTCTGTCCTTGCGATGTTTGCTCAGAATGATGGTTTCCAGCTTCATCCATGTCCCGTACAAAGACATGAACTCATCCTTTTTTATGGCTGCATAGTATTCCATAGTGTAGATGTGCCACATTAAAAAAAATTATTAAGAAAAAAAAAGGAATACTCCAATTGTGGGAATGGGCACAGAATATGAACTAGCAATTCACAAAAGAAATATAAAATGGCCAGTGAGTTCTGGACACTAACAAAGAGGTTAGTAATGGCCAAGTTCACAAAAATAGTATGAGGGAAATCAGGATTCAAACCCAAGAAATCTTATCCAATAAATATTTGTTTAATGAACGAATGATTATATATTCAACTAGAAGATGTTTACATCAGACTGCAAAATGAAAGTTAAAAGGCAGAATGTATGATGAGATCCCTTTCTGCCCACACAGTCACACAAACATCTATACAGGCTTAGAAAAAGGCCTGAAAACACTAAAATGTAACAAGTGGTTAGATTATGGAAGCTTTGTACTTTGTACTTTCCTGAATAAAAAAATTCAGAATATGCATATATTAATTCCATAATAAAGGAGAAAAGTTACATTAAAACCAAATAATCCTACAAAATAAAAAAGCATATAAATACTTTTAATGACTCCAAATTATCTATGTATACATGGCTCAGCATAGATCGCCTCAGGGTCACCAATCTTTAGATCAACAATCATGTCATGGTTCTCCAGTCTTTTCCTCTTGTACCTTTAGCTGCCAAATTAATCTTCCTTAAACACTGTGGCTTTTCTTGTAATCACTGCTTTCAATAATTCCCCATTTTCTATGTAAAAAAGTATAAATTCCCAAGTCTGGCACTCAAGGCCTTCCACAATGATGGCATTCAATCATCTTTTCACTTTATTATACACATTCCAGCTAGTTGACTATTTGCTGTTCTTTGTGTATGTATGTTGCCTACAGCTTTCTTTTTTTTTTTTTTTTTTGAGACGGAGTCTCGGCTCTGTCGCCCAGGCTGGAGTGCAGTGGCCGGATCGCAGCTCACTGCAAGCTCCGCCTCCCGGGTTCACGCCATTCTCTCCTGCCTCAGCCTCCCGAATAGCTGGGACTACAGGCGCCTGCCACCTCCGCCCGGCTAGTTTTTTGTATTTTTTTAGTAGAGACGGGGTTTCCCGTGTTAGCCAGGATGGTCTCGATCTCCTGACCTCGTGATCCGCCCGTCTCCACCTCCCAAAAGTGCTGGGATTACAGGCTTGAGCCATCTCGCCCGTTGCCTAGACAGCCTTTATAACTTGTTCATGTGGTTAACTGAACCTAGAATGTGCTCTCCCTCCATACGTCCTTTTCACCCAAGGCTCAGCTAATATACTATCTTCTATGTGAAACATTTGCTAATTTCCCTTAGTCACTCTGAGAATCCTTGGCCCTTTCATCTGCCTCTCTGGGCACATATTTTCTTATTTTTAAATCTTTCCTAATAGATAATAACTTGAGGTAGGATCTTCAGATTATTCATCTTTGTATTCTTACTGAATACTTGCTAAGTGAATAAAGTTAATCAACAAAATAGAAAAACTCCCAGACTTCAATACCATTAAGAAAGTCTAAGCTGTGGCTATTAGGTTTCTCCTTCTTTTTTTAATAATTTTTTTTTTTGAGACGGAGTCTCGCTCTGTCGCCCCGGCTGGAGTGCAGTGGCGCCATCTCCGCTCACTGCAAGCTCCGTCTCCCGGATTCACGCCATTCTCCTGCCTCAGCCTCCCGAGTAGCTGGGACTACAGGCGCCGCCACCACGCCCGGCTAATTTTTTGTGTTTTCGGTAGAGACGGGGTTTCACCGTGTTAGCCAGGATGGTCTCGATCTCCTGACCTCGTGATCCGCCCACTTCGGCCTCCCAAAGTGCTGGGATTACAAGCGTGAGCCACCGCGCCCGGCCGGTTTCTCCTTCTTTTAAAAAAAAAAAAAAAAAAAAACCAATTTTTAATTTTTCCCCCTTCCTTATGAAGTGGGTCCAAGGGTTTCTCCTTTTTTGAACACACAGGAAATACAAATTGTTAACAGTGTAAGATGGTTCTTACTTTCTAGGTCTTTGACCAAATAAAGAGATTTATGAACTTAATGAACTTAACTACTATAGATCCTTTGTTTCACAAATTCTTAAATTATTCTGGAGCTGCAAACACCAGAGAATTTCAGTCTACAGCAGTTTGGTTAGTATTGACCAAATTTTTCCAACATAAAGGGAATTTAAGCTTTATCCTCTGGGAAGGAGGACACAGCTGTAGAATGAATGTTCTCCTTTACCTTTTCGTGTTGTGCACCGTGGTGCCTCCCAGGACAATCCTCACTCCAGGAGTGGTGCGGTTCAGGTTATAAACTGTTAGAGCCTCTTCATAGGTGGCTCCTCCAATTACAAACACAATGATATCCTGAGGTCTGCAATAATGAAGAATGAGATAATATCACAGGATAAGAAAAAAAAAAAAAAAAAGGACTGTGACTTATATACACAGAGTTTTAATTTCTAAACCTTTTTTTTTGGTGGAGGAAGCAGAATTAAAGCAGAATAGAATAAAAGGTTTAAAAAAAGTTTTAATTATCTGAAATTGGCAGGAAACAGAGCAGGAAATGCTGAATAGTGATTTGCTTTCTGTTTATGAGCGGATGTCTTATAATTTCTGTGCTGTGGATTTCAGAATAGCACAATAGTGTTTGCTGGAACCAAATGTAGAAATATTCTTTTATATTCAAGAGGGTGCAGAGTGCCTTACCGTCACATGATATCAATACAGCAGTATTTTGTTTGTATGCTTGTATTAATACTACACATCTCCTTTCATGTATAAGCCTTTTGTCAAATACTTAGTACAGTGCTATTACAATGGCCTCTGTCCAAGGACCTCAAAACATTTTTGAAAGAACTGGCATATTCGCATGTCCCCAAAACATGGGAACTAGAAACATTTAGTATTTTGAGTATAAAAAAAAGAATGGGACACATAAATTAATGGTGCTTCTAGGAACTCCATCTTTTCTTGAAATATTTTTTCTGAATCCTTTGATAAACCAAGAAAAAGAAACCAAAAAAAACCATGAGTGTAGCTGATACTGGACATGTGAACACAGCTCAGTCACTAGCTTTACTTGAGTAGCACTGTGTTGTTTTACTGTTTCCTGTTTCAATCCTTATCAAAATGGCTTCATAGCAAAATGAATGTTCCTCCTATCAGCTCCTTCTGTAGATATCACCAAGAAGGAGATCAAATTATTTTCAAAATCACTAATGTTTGTCCTGTTTTTCTTTTCTCATGCTATCAAAAGAAGATAAAATTAATCCTACTAGGCAAATAATTTTGTTAAATCACTCATTGGACACTAAAACTACATCAAGCAGAAGCATCCATTTTGAATGTTATTGCACAAAACTAACCAGAAACATCTTTAATCAAGGAATATACATGCTTGTGTATAAATCTTGAAAAAAACCTTAACCCTACATTTCCTTCCTGCTTGTCTCTCTCTCTCTTTCTAAAATACCTTGAAGGAATTAACTTTGTATTTGTATTTGTTCTTGTGGGACTTCACTGAAACAGAATCAGCTATTGTGGCTATTTTTAAATGTTCAGATAGTCTCTAAATTGCAGAGATTCCCCAGTAAAAGTTATACAAGCCCAGGCACGGTGGCTCATGCCTGTATGCATTTTGGGAGGCCAAGGTGGGTGGATCATTTGGCGTCAGGAGTTCGAGACCAGCCTGGCCAACATGGTGAACCCGTCTCTATTAGAAATACAAAATTAGCCGGGTGTAGTGGCAGGTGCCTGTAATCCCAGCTACTCGGGAGGCTGAGGCAGGAGAACTGCTTGAATCTGGGAGGTGAAGGTTGCAGTGAGCCAAGATCGTGCCACCATACTCCAGCCTGGGCAACAGAGTGAGATTCCATATTCAAAAACAAACAAACACACCCCAAAAAAACCTCCCTCCATAAAACAGTTATACAAGCTACCAATGATGAAGAGGTTGTTATGGTAAAGTGTCAATTATGATAAGGGTCCCCAAACCCAGGCTGAGGACCAATACCAGTCCGTGGTCTGTTAGGAACTTGTGGGGGCACAGCAGGAGGTGAGCAGCGGGTATTCAGGCCTGAGCTCTGCCTGCTCTTAGATCAGTGGAGGCATTAGATTCTCATAGGAGTGCAAATCCTACTGTGAACTACGCATGGGAGGGATCTAGGTTGCGAGCTCCTTATGAAACTATTGCCTGATGATAGGTGAGGTAGAACAGTTTTATATTACTTGACTTGTCAGCAACATATGACTGAGGTGATCACTTGCTCCTCCTGGATACACCTTCTTCAACTGGTTTCCAGAAAATTTCATACTTGATTTTTTCCCTTGCTACTTTTCAGTATCCTTTGATGGTCCCACTTCATCTCTGTGACCTCTTAATGGTGGAATACTCAGAGCCCAGACATCGGTCCTCCTTTCTTCTTAACCTAAACTCATTCCCTCCATCTGCTCCATTTAGTATAGTGGCCACTTGTCACTTATGGCTATTTAAATTTAAATTAACCAAAATAAAATTAAATATTTAATTCCCCAGTAGCACTAGACACATTTCAAGTGCTCAACAGCCACACTGACAAGTGGTTACATTACTAATTACCAGAGAAACAGCACATTTCCTTCCCTTGATAAGCACACCCAGTTTTTTGGTTGTAAATACATCTATCTGCTGATGGCTCCCAAATCTCCATCTCCAGCCCAGACCTTTCTTCTAAACTCCAGACTTAAATATCTGTCTACTTGACATTTCCATTTGGATGTTTAATTATTTCTCAACTCAACATGTTTTAAATCCCCAATCTTCCCTAAGCCTATTCTACCTATAGCTTTCCCTATCTTACTTGATGGTCACTTTAGCCTTCTAGTTGCTTGGGCCAAAAACTCTGGACTCATCCTAACTCTTCCTTTGGGGCAGAAGTGAAGTTGGGGACATAGTGAGAGAAAGAGGGAGAAGCATAAGCCAGCTCACAGAAGACCTCAAATCTCACAGGTCATGGGGGAATCACTGAAAGGTTTTCACAGGTTATCAGGATCAAATTTGCTTTTTATTTTGAGATGGAGTCTCTCTCTGCCACCCAGGCTGGAGTGCAGTGGTGCGATCTTAGTTCACTGCAACCCCCGCCTCCTGGGTTCAAGCGATTCTCCTGCCTCAGCCTCCCAAGTAGCTGGGAATACAGGCACGTGCCACCACGCCAGACTAATTTTTGTATTTTTTAGTAGAGACAGGATTACACCATGTTGGCCAGGCTGGGGATCTTGAACTCCTGACCTCAGGTGATCCGCCCACCTTGGCCTCCCAAAGTGCTAGAATTACAGGTGTGAGCCACCGTGCCCAGCCAAATTTGCTTTTTTGAAGGATAGTTTTGGCAGCCGTGCAAGAATGAATTGGGTGTAACTGTTGGGAAAAGTTGGAGAATAAAAGGTTAGTGTGAGACTTCTGGGAAGATATGATGAAACCTAGAACTAAAGACATCCCAGAAAGGGTAAAGAGGAGGTAGTGGATGTCTAGTCACAAAAAATACATATTCTTCAGTATTTGGTCAATGACTGAATGTGGAGGATAGGGGTAAAGGGGGAGTCCATAACTGTTTTCTGGTTTTGGTAACTAGGTGTAGTGGTTTAGATTTGAGAAAAAGGACATTTACTGAGCATAAGACACAAACACGTTGTGTTTTAGATACCTGTGGAATATTTTAATGGAGATGCCCACTAGACATCTGCATATTCAGGTCTAGTGCTTTCCCTGAATATGTGGTAGCTAAAGCCATGGGAATAGATGAGTTTTATCTAGGGAGATCATGTAGAATGAGAAGAGAACCAAAAGACAGATTTTTTTGGTGAGTCCCTAACAACCACAATACAAGTAAAAAGAGTAGCCAGCATTAGCAACTGAGAAGGACATTTTCAGAAAGGTAGGAGGAGAACCAGAAGGGAAAGGTTGAGGGCCAACTGAGTCTTAAGAAAAGAATGGTTAATAGTGTGAAATGATGCAGTGGGGAAAGTAAGGTGAGAATTGAGAGTCCCCTGGATTTACTAATGTGATTTTGCAAGAAATGTTTTAGTGTGTTGTAGTGGAGTAAGAGTTGACAAACAGAAGACAGTAACTGTGGACTTCTTTATCCAAGAAACTTGGCTATGAAGGGAAGGACATAACTTACAGGAAAATCTAGGACTAAAGGCTTTAAATTTATTATTTAACAAAAGAAAATTAGTATGATTATAACCTGTGGAAAAGAAGTCGGCAGAGAAGAGGCTGAAAATAATGGGGTGATGGGGAGAAGAGAGCGAGAGCCAGAGCGAGAGAGCAAGAGAGAGAAAGAAAATAACAAAGGCTTCAGAAGAGCTGGTAGGAAGGTAAAACCAGAGTGGTGGCATCTGACTTTCTGACTGGTATAAGATGATATCTCAGTGTGGTTTTCATTTGCATTTCTCTGATGATCAGTAATGCTGAGCATTTTTTCAAGTGTTTTTTGGCCACTTGTAATTCTTTTGAGAAATGTCTTTTCATGTCCTTTGCCCAGTTTTTAATGGGGTTGTTTTTTTTTTAAATTAAGTTCCTTGTAGGATGTGGATATTAGTCCTTTGTTGGAGGCATTATTTGTAGGTTGTCTGTTTATTCTGTTGGTTATTTCTTTTGCTGTGCAGAAGCCCTTTAGTTTAATTAAGTCCTATTTGTCTACTTTTGTTTTTGTTGCATGTGCTTTTGGGATCTTTTTCATAAATTCTTTGCCTAGGCCAATGTCCAGAGATTTTTTTTCCTAGATTTTCATCTAGGACTTTTATAGTTTCAGGTCTTATATTTAGGCCTTTAATCTATCTTGAGTTAATTTTTGTATATGGTTAAGAGATAGGGGTCCAATTTCATTTTTCTGCATATGGCTGGCCAATTTTCCCAGCACAATTTATCGAATGGGGTGTCCTTCCCCCATTGTTTATTTTTGTCAACTTTATTGAAGATCAGTTGGTTGTAGGTATGTGGCTTTATTTCTGGGTTCTCTATTCTGTTCCATTGATCTATGTGTCTGTTTTTGTACCAGTACCATGCTTTTTTAGTTACTGTAGCCTTATAGTATAATTTGAAGTCAGGCAATGTCACTCTGGATTTGTTTTTTGCTTAAAGCACCTTGGCTATTCAGGCTTTCTTCTGGTTCCATATCAACTTTAGGATTCTAATTCTGTGAAGAATGATGTTGGTAAATTGATAGGAATTGTGTTGAATCTGTAGATTGCACTGGGTAATATGATCATTTTAATATTGATTCTTCCAATCCATGAGCATGGGATGTTTTTCCATTTGTTTGTGTCATCTATGATTTCTTTCATCAATGTTAAGTACTCCTTGTAGAGGTCTTTCACCTCCTTGGTTAAATATAT